CACATTTCAATCCTTAATCCTCAATTCTTCTCTCAGGATATCAGGCACGCACACACATGCACTTGGTGTGAGTTTCAAGCCACAGGATCCAAGATTCCAACCGCAGTTGGTCATGTGAGAGTCCAGCAACATAACCATTACGCCACCTGCTGGTTCCTATGTTGTGTCCCTTTTCTACCACCTCTTATTTGAATAGCCACAGCCTGATCCAGCCTTAATATACCACCTGTTTTCCCTCTGTGTTCACTTGCTAAACTTAGCAAAGGAAATTGAATATGTAGTTAATGACTGTTTTCTTATTGTGCTGCTTTAGAACTCCATATTAAATCACTGTCATCCTCTGGTCAGATTTTAAAGTGGAGAGTGATTTAGAAGAACTGATATCTACATATGTGTGTAATGTACATGTACAGTCAGATAGCTGTATAACTCATGCAATACTTATGAGTTTCTTGGCTTTTAAAAGAAACCCAATAGATAGTGAGCAATTTTTATTTTAAAAGTCTAGGGTCAATAAGGTGGTGTGATGGATAAGGCACTAGATCCTACAAGGCCAACTAAACAGTTCAAGTCTTGGACTCAGCAGCTTGAAAAACATGGCAGGTGTGTGTGTGTGCCTCAGATCCTGAAAGGATGGAGAAATGGGGGAGATGGGATTGCAACATGACCATTCCCCATGGGGGTAGGGGGCTTCCTCATTTTCCCTCTCTTGCTCTGTCTCTCTTGAGTGAGGGCACATGTCCTCTGGCAAAATTTTTTATAAAAAGTCTAACTAAAAATTTCTTAGAATTAGAAATGATAGAAGAGAGAGAATAGAAAGGATTTTCATAAATAATGTAGTTTTAGTGAGATGTATAATTACAATTTTGCTTTTATGGCAAAATCAGGATTAGAACTCAGATTAGATTTAAAATTTGTATATGAGAAAAAAATAAAATTTGTATATGTTTTACATAAACTATGTATTTGATAATATTTTGAGAAGTAAATAATATTTTAATTGAAAATGCAACTTCTTTAACACCTAAAATATTTGGCATAACTTACATACTAACATAACATCTTTTTCAAGTTAAAAAAATTAATTGGTCAGTACTTCCCACCTGATATTTACTGCTCAGCTAGCTTTGACTCTAGGATTCATTTCCTATATAAGGATAACAGTTGAATTGTTTATTACCTATTTTTTTTTTGAGAGAGAAATTTTTGCTATAGAGTGTGTGCATTCACTGGAGAGACAGAGAGACAGAAAGTGAAAAATCACCCCCCCAGGGAGGATGGCCACACTGCAATCCCTTTTCTTCCATTCTCCTCTAAGGAGTTTGGGCATGCATGTACAAACACCCAGTATGAGTTTTAAGCTGCCGGGTCCAGGACTCAAACCACGGTTGACTACATGGGAGTCCAGCAACATAACTATATGGCATCTGCTGGACTTATTAGGAATTTTTAAACCTAAAAGTCCTGTTAACAATCAAAGGCTCTCCCTTCCAAATGACAGTTCAAAGACAACTTTTCTCTTTGCCTGTAATTACCCAGCACTTCAGAAGCACTTATTACTTCTATTACATTTATTGTAGCTGGTTACCTCCTGTTTGAACATTTCAGTTTGAGGTTCAAGTCCCAGACCTGGCAGCTTGAAAATTACTCTGGATGTGTGTGCGTGCATACCTAAAATCCCAGAAAAGTAGAGGAGAAGGGATTGTGGGGTGGCCATCCCCCACAATGGGTGATTTCTCGATTTCTCTCTCACTGTCTCCAGGAAGTGCACATGCCCTATGCCAAAAACAAAAAACTGCCTCTGCCTTCAAGGAGCTCTATTACAGTCAAGGAGAGGTAACTGGGAGTTGTGCAGCATAATTAGTGTTTATTTGACCACCAGGGTACAGAGGAATACATAGGGAGCAGTTGGAGCTTAGAGAAAATGAACAATGCGTGTTGCCATGGAGATTTGGAAGCAGTATCTAGACCTGATCATTAAGGTGATTAGAGTCTTACCAAAAAAATCAACAGACATGCAGAAAGAGTAACCTACATATATTGGGTCATCAGAAAAGTCATGACATATTTTTCTGTTTTCCTATGCAAAAATGCATCATGCTTTTCCAATGACCAATTATGTTACAAAGGGGACACCCAAAGAGCAAGAATACCCAGCACCTTCCAAGGGAATCAATGACCTCTGCCCAGAAGTACCCTTCAAAATGGTCTCTTCTGGCTCTGGTACTCTGTGTAGAAGTCAATCACCCAGGAACCTGGTGAAAAAGAAGGCTGTGGTGTCTATTTGCCAGGAGTCAGTCCCTGATAATGTGGAAAAGCACTATTAAAATCAGATTCTGTGACTGCAGAGTTGAGGCTTTTCCAAGATTCTGTACCAAGAAAAAAATAACTTCACTGGGACAAAGGAGGCATTTTCCATGATAAATAATTGGAAAAGATTTGAGTTGTCAGACTCTGACTGAAAATCGATCGCTTGTTAGAAGAAATCAAAATCTAGGGTTTTATGCCATCTTTTACGCAATTTTTCATAGATCTAAAATCCATCCGATGAATCATATATTGATATGAGGTAAACATATTATTAAAGTTAACCATCGTTTACTGCTTTATCTTTTTAATTGTCAATTTGTATGTAATTTATACCAGTTTTTTTGTGCAAATCAATTATTCTACCAACAGTTCTATGACAATGTTGATTCCATAAAATAGGCTTCTTGTGTTCTACGTTTATCTCTGTTTCAACCTCTAATCGAAAATGCTGTAGAATTTCTACATCATCTGTCTGTGTCTTTGTTTGGATATGGATATGTATTTATATGTACCATTAACCCCTGCAGCCATGTATTAAGTAATATTATCTGCTTATTAAAATTTGTATTAAATACAGTTGCCAGTAAATCACAGAATATTTGTAAAATTGCATTTTCTCATTTATTACTGTTCAAGAAAATAATATCAACAATGGTCACAACAAATAACATTAGTTCTCATTCTAAAACTTAGATTTTTTTAAATACAAATTTCTTCATGCTAAAGACAAAAACAAACAAACAAAAAAACCCAAAGATTGATGCAGACTTATTTTGCCTTTTTTATTACAATCAGAACTACCTAATCTAAAGAATCTGTACAGTCCACACTTAGGAAAATTCTATTTGAGTAGAAGAAATCTCAAACACATGTAACTTTTTCTATAGCAACAATAAGCCATAAAGTTGTGTGTGCTGGAATATGTTCTCTTTTTTTTTTGTCATTTAATATATTTTTTAATTGAATATGGAAGCATGGTGGTCAGTCTATAATATCAGAATTATTAGTGTTACTGAATCTTTTGCTTAGTTAACAGTCAAAAACATGTCTACTTGAAGTGCATTGCACACAAATGAGTAAGGATCTCATGCCAAGTTCAGTGTTACAGAGGAAGAAAACAAATACACAAATGATTAGCCACAAGATAGAGCAAGGTAAATGCTGTCTAAGTAGCCCAGAGAAGGTTCTGTTAAAAAACCAGAATGTTTTCCATTAATTAAGGAAATCAGGAAAGGTTTAATGAAGATGAA